AATGACTGACTCGCGACTCTAAACACAGGGCGCCACGGCGAGGGAGGGGTGTGTGTGTGTGTGTGTGTGTGTGTGAGTGAGTGAGTATGTGTGTGTGTGTGGGTGGGTGCGTGTGTGTCCGCCAGTAGGATTTGTGGATTTCCAGTGGCAAACAGGGCAGAGGAAATGTGGCGTTCAGCAGCTGTGTGTTTGGGAATTTAGGTAGAGGAAGTTAGCGTTAGCGCTAGCCGCTGCTTACCCCCACTGTTTGTGTTAGTGTGAACTGGTTTTAACAGCCAGTCATGCCGTAGCTTTAGCCCGGGGCCTGGCTCTGTGGGTGGCTTTAACAAATCTGACACATTAGCGCAGAGAAATTAGCATCCGTTCAGCTAGCGTGCTGCTCACACAGGCGCCTAGCTCGCTAGCATATGCTAAAGTTCACTGGGTTTAGATCTGTGTGGGAAACACACAGCTGCACGTTTCACTTAAATTCATTAGATTTTATAGAATTCATCATTTTAGATGCTGATTAAAGAGGTGACTACGCAACTGGGGAGCTAAAAATGTATTTTTCTTTTTCCCATGAACAGATGATATTAAAATCCCTGTCGAATATGTGACTTGTGGAGTATTCCTCAAAGCGATTTACACATTAATGCAAAAATAATACAATTTTTGAAGCAGTTTATATTTGAAGGTAAACTGTAGTTATACTTGTGATATAAGTGCTGCAGATCAGTTTTAGGTTATTTGTCAAAAACATACACATATTTTGTTGTGAAGGACAGTTTATCTGTGTTTAACATGTCTTTTTACTTTACATACATATTTATAAATGTATTATCAATGGACACAAATGGCCTCCCAACTGTTGAATCTCTGTGATCTGTGAAACTCAGAGATGTTTTGTTTCCTCCAGTTCTGAGAGTGAGAGCTAATTAAAGCTAAACTCCTCTCTGTTCAACAAAAGAAACATGCCAACTGCAAACACACCATAATACTACACCTTCTGAACTATAGGAGGCAAATCCAGCCAAAAAAGAAATTAAAATTAAAACAATAAAATGTAAACGCAAACCTCTTTTTGCCATTTCTTTTTCCAAACATCTGCGCAGATATCCTGCCAAAACTGAAAATGAGATGAAATAACTACATTTGCAATTTCCTTTTTCATATGAGCACAAGTCATTTGTGACAAAAATAAAAATAAATTTAAAACAGCTTTTTGTCATTTCATTTTAGTCGTTATTCTGGTATTTCATGGCCATTTCTAAAATGAAAAAGCTAATAGAGAAAAGAAAATCTTTGGCTTTGGCTTTTCTTCATGAAATGCAGAATATGTGTCAAAACTAAAATGAAAACGCAATGTTTACATTCTTATTTCTTTTTCATAGCCCGTAGGCCATTTGGTCTGATGTTCACTTTCACCAGACCCGAGACATGACGATCTTTTTTCTCGAGACTCGAAGTCGTTTAGCTTGAGGAATGAGCCGTTCTGACGCCGAGGTCTGAGGATGTCCTAAAAAGTACCCCGTAGCCCCGCCCAATGCTAATTAACATATATTTGCATGTTAGTCAGTTGAAAACAAAAAAAGCAAAGTGGCAAACGAAAAGTAAATCTCCAGCAGGTGGCGCTGATGTTCATTTGCATTTGCCTTTTCATTCTGACACTTAAAGCACGTCAATGCCAAAAACTGAATCGCAAAATGTCACTTTGCTGTTGATTTATCCATTTTCATTTCCATTTTGTCAGATATGCAGCCGATTGCTATGAAAAAAAAATAAGAACGTAAACACTGCATTTTAATTTTAGTTTTGACACATATTCTGCATTTTATGAAGAAAAGCGAAGCTTGGATTTTCTTTTCTCTATTAGCTTTTTCATTTTAGATTTGGCCATGAAAACCAGAATAACGACTAATATAAGATGACAGCTGTTTTACATTTATTTTTATTTTTGTCACAAATAGCTTTTTCTATTTTGGCAGGATATTTGCGCAGATGTTTGGAAAAAGAAATGGCAAGAAGAGGTTTGCATTTACATTTTATTGTTTTAATTTTAATTTGCCTCCCATACTCAACCACTACTGTCTGAACTAACAGTGTATGAACCAATACGGTCTGGAACACCACTTTCAGAACCAACAGTCTGAACCACAACCTTGTGAAACAACACCATCTGAACCAACACCACCTGAACCAGCACCATCTTGAATCAATATCGTCTGAACAAACACCTTCTGAACCAACATCTATTGAACAAATGCCTTCTGAACAACCACTGTCTGAAACTACACCATCTGAACCAGCATTGTATGAACAAGTATCATCTGAAACAGAGCAGTCCAAGAAAACACCTTGTAAACCAACCTTGTCTGAAACTGCACCATCTGGACCAACACCTTCTGAACCAGCACCATTTGAACAAACATCCTCTGAACCAATGCTGTCTTAATCAATGCCATCTGACCTAACACATTCTGAACCACCACCATCTGAGCCATTGTTTTTGAGCCAACACTGTCTGATCCATTTTTCCACCTATAAACAAAAACACTGTTTTCTATTTTACTCAGAGTAAAGTTTGGGTTAGCATGTAGTATATACAGTTCTGCTCACACACTTTACATAGCCTGCCTGAATCTATAACGTATTTACACTATATAAAGTAGAAAATGAAAGTTCTTAAAAAACAATAATGAAATACAGTTAAAAAAGAAGCTCAAATGAACCTATTATATCACAGACATTTCAATGTATTGTCAAGGGCTGCTTAAAGTCTGTTGTGATAGGTGTAAATCAGTGCACAATAAAATAATATTCAGAACAAAGTCTTAATAAATTAACATCCAGAATAAAGTTCTACTAACATTAACATTAAAAAACAAAGTTCTAATAAAATTAATATCCAGAATGAAGTTCTAATAAAATTATCCAGAATGAAATGTTAATAAAATTACTATCCAGAATAAAGTTCTAATAAAATTATCCAGAATGAAGCTTTAATAAAATTAATGTCCAGGATGAAGTTCTAATAAAATTAACATTCAGAATGGAGCTCTAATATGAATAACACCCAAAATTAAGTTCTAATAAAGTTAACATTCAGAATTAAGTTCTAATAAAATTAATGTCCAGAATAAAGTTCTAATAAAATTAATGTCCAGAATAAAGTTCTAGTAAAATTAACATTCCAGAATGAAGTTCTAATAAAATTAATGTCCAGAATGAAGTTCTAATAAAATTGACATCCAGAAAGAAGTTCTAATAAAATTGACATCCAGAATGAAGTTCTAATAAAATTGACATCCAGAATGAAGTTCTAATAAAATTAATATCCAGAATGAAGTTCTAATAAAAATAAAATTTAATAAAATGAATGCCCAAAATAACGTTCTACTAAAATTAACGCTCAGAATAAAGTTGTGATAAAATTAATAAACAAAATGAAGTTGTGATAAAATTAATACCCAAAGTAAAGTTCTAGATAAACAAAGAGAGAGGGATGAAGAAAAGAGAGAGATACAGAGAAAAGGAGAAAAAAGAGACAGACAGAGAGAAATGAAATTGTTTCCTGTCTGTCTCAGGTGGCGTTGAGGTTTGTGTCCGACAGGTTGAGACAGGTGAGGAGCTCAGTGTGTGTGTGTGTGTGTGTGTGTGTGTGTGTGTGTGTGTGTGTTATACACTAAACCAGCAGTCTTCTGTGTGTGTTGTGATGACTGAGCACACACTGACTCCAGATCAGCACAATTACTCTATTACTCTTCACCACACTGCACAAATTATATCATCTCTTCACATATATCATATCATTATAACACCATAATACAGCACTGGAGCTTCTACATATTATACTGTATATCACACTATACAAGCCCTGTATATCACACCATACAATACTGTATATCACACTGTAAAATACTGTATATCACTGTAAAACACAGTATATCACACTGTAAAATTCTGTAAATTAAACTCTAAAATATCGCACATCACACTGTAATGTACTGTACACTACACTGTAAAAATACTGTATATCACACTGGAAAATGTGAAATACTGTATATCAGAGCATAATATACAAAATACATCATCACTGTAAAATACTGTACACCTCACCGTAATATACTGTACATTGCACCATAACACTCTGTTCTTCACACTATTATTGATCATTGTGTGCTGGTAGGAGTGTTTATCTGGCTATTATTGATTATTATCTTGTTGTTATTAAGTTGTATCTGGTTGTTATTGTTTTGTATCTTTTAGTCATATAGAAGTCATTTATTTCTGTTCTTGACTATACTTTTCCAAAATAAATACACATAAATAAATAAATAAATAAAAATAAGATAAATTAAATTAATAGGAAAGACAAGATATTATAGATTGCTGTGTGGTGGGTGAGTGTTTATCTGGTTGTTATTGGTTATTAACTGTTTATGGATTATTATCTGGTTGGTATTGTTTACTACATGTTGTTGGGAGTGTTTATCTGGTTATTATTAGTTTTTATGTGGTTATTATTGATTACTATGAATTGTTGGTGGTTATTATCTATTTCTTATTAATTAATTTCTGGTCATTGATAACTGTGTGCTGATGGGAGCATTAATCTAGTTGCTATTGATTATTATCTGTTTGTTGATTACTGTATGCTGGTGGGAGTCTTTATGTGGTTGCTATTGATTATTATCTGTTTGTTATTGATTACTATCTGCTGGTGGGAGAGTTTATGTTAAGTGTTTATCTGGTTGTTTTTTATTATAATCTGATTGTTATTGATTATTTTCTGAATGGTATTGACTATTATTTGGTTGTAATTCATTATTAACTGGCTGTTATTGATTATTATTTGGTTGTTATTGATTATTATCTAGTTTTTATTGATCACTGTGCACTGTGGGAGTGTTTATCTGGTTGATGTTAATTATTTACTCGTTGTTATTGATTATTACGTGGTTGTTATTGATTATTAACTGGGTGCTATTGATTGAGCATGTGCTCGTGGGAGTGGTATATGTGTATATGTGTGCACTCTGTGGTGCTGAGATCTTCTGAAGTCTCACTCGGTGGTGCTCCAGGAAAGGTGTGGCTGCTGAGTAAAGCCTGCTGTCATAAACTCACACACTGCAGAACGACGGACGCAGAGAGAGACCGACTGCTCACACACACTCTCACACACTTTCAGAGAGGAGCTGCAGAGCTGAACTCAGGTAAAACACCTCTAAACTTCATTATTACACTCTTACACTGTTAATGCAGATCAGAAGAAAAGCAGGTCTAAGTGAGAGAGTGTAAGAGAGAGTGTGTGTGTGTGTGTGTGTGTGTGTGTGGTGTGTGTGTGTGTGTGTGTGTGTGTACACATGCCTAAAGACACTGTCAGATCTACTGAATGAACAAAGAATTCTCTACTCCTTAAACCTGAATGAAGCTCAATAAGTACCTATATAATGCTGTATGACTGCACTGAACTCGTCTACACAGTCCTCACGTTCTGTATGGAGTCCTTTACATGTAAAGTAGTATTTCAGGGTTTCAGGAGAAGGAAGAAACATTCTTAACCTTTAATGAAAGCTCAAGAAGCAAAAGTTTAACTTTAAGTAATTTTGAAATGTACACACAATGTAAAGAGCAGCTAGAATTTCCATATGGTGTGAAACCAATTTTACAAATGTTTTCATTCTGATTAATTAAAATATTTAACATGGAGCAGCGGGAATGAAAAGTTTTGTTCTGATACCAACTCTAGTTTTCTATATTTGCACTTTTATTTCTATATACACATTTTTATTTCTCTATTATCTATCAACCTATCTAATCAATTTACAGATACTAAAGAAACAAAAATATGTATAAAGAAATAAATACATGTATAATTTTAGACAGCTGCTATGTCTTTATTCCGATTGCTTTTTAATTCATTATTTACTTTATATTTTGTGGTATTTTCCCGATCAAGATTAGCTATCATTCCTGATTTTCAATTTTCATAACAAATAATCATTTTTTGCTGGGCTCTGCGTGTCTCATTGCTAGTTTGCTGGCTGTACTGGTCTGTACTGGTCCGCTGTGCTTCAGCCAAATCTTCTACTTTCCTTGAAGTTGAGGCCATGCTTGGTGAATTCTTATGATCTAATGTCTGCCGGATAAAACTGGTCTGAACCGAGAGCATGATGAGTGTGTTAAAGCTGCCACTGTCGCCCTCAGCTTACTCATTACACCTCTGAGCTTCTGGACCTCTGTACGTAGAGCTGCTTAGGAGATCTGCTAGAGAACGTCCTGAGGAACCTGAACCCATCCTGCAGTAAAACTGAAATAATGACTGCAATAGAAGTTAAAGTAACCTCCAACCCCCCAATAAATAAATAAATAACAGCTTGAAAAAACATACAACATAACTTATAGAACTGCAATAGAACCTCTTAGCACATTCAGCCTCTATTAGCATAGAAACTACGAGGCTGACGGCTTCTTATCTGAATTTTCTGTTCCACCTTTAAAGGGGCAGCTGTAACGTTCTGGAGCTTTCGAATATACGAATAGGAAGCTGGATAAAACATAACTATTTTTTTGGTTTAAATTAAAAGCTCCAAAGTGAGATATGTGAGCAAGAATAAAGCAGTCCAACACAAAAGAATGAAAAGAAACTCAGGAACTAAGAAACTGGATTAGGAACTAAATGTAAAAGAGCAAAAAATGGAACTGAGTCATTCTATTTGCTAGTAGAGTTAAAAGTATCAGTGTTTGAAAATGTACAAATCCATCAATGCGCTAGATCAGTACTGAAGTGTATGTAAATGATTAACGGACCTCACTGAAAAGATTAAGATAAGTAAATGAACCTGGTCTCGTGTGCATTAAGGGATATAGTCACACTCTAAAAGAAATTTATTTTAAGTTAAAGTTAACAATCGGACCGCACTGAAATTAAGTTTCCTGGACCTCTAATAGTAGCCAGTTATAAAATAACCATAATAATAATAATAATAATAATAATAATAATAATAATAATAATATTAGCCAGATTAGTTTAGTTTTTAAAACAACTAATCATTTTTAGGAGTCCATTTGGTAAATTTCTATTTTGGAAAATCATCTATATGTGAGTCAACTGATTAATAACTACTAAAGTACAATAGTGTTTTATTATGACTATGAATTGTTCAATAATGATTATGAAATACTCAATATCCACTATGAGTTATACTGTATTTATTATGAATTATTCAGTATCCACTATAAATTACGCTGTATCTATGTAAGTGGGTGTATGCATCTTAAAATGTTAAACTGTGTGATTAATTATATTTAATACTGATATTTAGTGCAGATGTGGTGCATTTTTGCAACGTTCTATATATTTTTCAGCTTGTGTAGATCAGACAGGATCAGTTTGCTTACATTAGGCAGGAATAGGGATTAGGGTTAGGGAATAATCATAGGGCAGGGAGATGAGTGTGTGTGGACGGTACGTAACCTGATCTTCAGGACTTCATCAGCACTGTGTACTACAGCGCACTATTAAAGTGTTTATGTGTGGTCACAGTGTTTACACTGGCTATGTTTACATTCACACTAATAATACATTAATTATCCGGCTAATAGATCAGAATAAAAACATCTAAATCTGTGTAGAGTAACAGCTTAATCTGAAAGAAATTTCTGTCCCATTGAAAGACATAAACATAAAAATAATGACCATGGGAACCGCTGAATGTGATCACTGTCGCTATCAGAATCTCAGAGCATGTGCGCCGACATCACAATGAGGAAGATTCTTGCTGTTATTGTAACAGCTGGCACTAAGTGCTGCTTCCTGCATTGTTTGGATTAATGTGCATGTGCAGCAACACCAGTACAAGAAATATTATTCTAATATCTGTTTTATGGTCTTCGCCATGATGTTTCCATTCACTATTGGTATTGATTGTTTCATAAAATGAGCTTGAGCAAGAGTTTCAGGAGCTGCAGGATAATTTGTACATCACAAGTCTGAAATTAATTCTGATGTAAGTTTCAAATGATTGAAGTTGATGCACCACTGACTGACTGCAATCTTTACAATCTATGATAAATTACTGGCAAATGTACATCTTACCATCTATCAGACACAACAGACCGACTGTACATCTTACCATCTATCACACACCACTGACCGACTGTACACCTTACCATCTATCACACACCACTGACAAACTGTACACCTTACCATCTATCACACACCACTGACCGACTGTACATCTTACCATCTATCACACACAACAGACCGACTGTACATCTTACCATCTATCAGACACAACAGACCGACTGTACATCTTACCATCTATCACACACAACAGACCGACTGTACATCTTACCATCTATAACACACAACTGATAAACTGTACACCTTACCATCTATCACACACCACTGACCGACTGTACATCTTACCATCTATCACACACCACTGACCGACTGTACATCTTACCATCTATCACACACCACTGACCGACTGTACACCTTACCATCTATCACACACCACTGACCGACTGTACATCTTACCATCTATCACACACCACTGACCGACTGTACATCTTACCACTATACACACACTGAAACTGTACACTTACACTACACACCACTGACCGACTGTACATCTTACCATCTATCACACACCACTGACCGACTGTACATCTTACCATCTATAACACACAACTGATAAACTGTACACCTTACCATCTATCACACACCACTGACCGACTGTACATCTTACCATCTATCACACACCACTGACCGACTGTACATCTTACCATCTATACACACACTGAAAACTGTACACCTTACCATCTATCACACACCACTGACCGACTGTACATCTTACCATCTATCACACACCACTGACCGACTGTACATCTTACCATCTATCACACACCACTGACCGACTGTACATCTTACCATCTATTACACACCACTGACCGACTGTACATCTTACCATCTATCACACACCACTGACCGACTGTACACCTTACCATCTATCACACACCACTGACCGACTGTACATCTTACCATCTATCACACACCACTGACCGACTGTACACCTTACCATCTATCACACACCACTGACCGACTGTACACCTTACCATCTATCACACACCACTGACCGACTGTACACGACTGTACATCTTACCATCTATCACACACCACAGACCGACTGTACATCTTACCATCTATCACACACCACTGACCGACTGTACATCTTACCATCTATCACACACCACTGACCGACTGTACATCTTACCATCTATCACACACCACAGACCGACTGTACATCTTACCATCTATCACACACCACTGACCGACTGTACACCTTACCATCTATCACACACCACTGACCGACTGTACACCTTACCATCTATCACACACCACTGACCGACTGTACACCTTACCATCTATCACACACCACTGACTGACAGTACACCTTACCATCTATCACACACCACAGACCAACTGTACACCTTACCATCTATCACACACCACTGACCGACTGTACACCTTACCATCTATCATACACCACAGACCGACTGTACACCTTACCATCTATCACACACCACAGACCGACTGTACATCTTACCATCTATCACACACCACTGACCGACTGTACACCTTACCATCTATCACACACCACAGACCGACTGTACATCTTACCATCTATCACGCACCACAGACCGACTGTACACGACTGTACATCTTACCATCTATCACACACCACAGACCAACTGTACATCTTACCATCTATCACACACCACTGACTGACTGTACATCTTACCATCTATCACAAACCACAGACCGACTGTACACCTTACCATCTATCACACACCACAGACCGACTGTACATCTTACCATACTCTACACTTTACCATCTATCAGACATCAAAGGCCTAACTGTACACCTTATCTATCAGACACCACTGACCAACTGTACACTTTATCCATCAGACGCTTCTCACCAACTGTACACCTTACCATCTACTGTACACTTCACCATCTATCAGACACCAAAGACTGACTTTAGACCTTATCTATCAGATGTTACTGACCAACTGTACACCTTACCATCTATCAGACACCACTGACCAATTGTACACTTTATTATCTATCAGACACCACTGACCGACTGTACACCTCACCATCTATCACGCACCACAGACCGACTGTACACGACTGTACACGACT